TACAGCAAGCCCAGGGCAGGGCAGGGCAGGGAGCCAGAGCTTGAATGGAGGCCATTCTGGTTACAATGTCTGGGAGTAATAGGCCCATGTCCCAGGTATCAGGAGATATAGACCTGGCAAAACAGGGATGCCAGATTTCTCCCCCACCTTCTCCTGAGGCAAGCTGGACATCCTAGAGGCAGGCTTTGCTGCTCTCATTAAGTTCACAGACTAAGTTCTTTGTCCCTGGCACCCTTTGAAAGCCCACTGTCTCCCCTCCCATGCCCATAACCATGCAGAACCTACGGCATCTCCCTAAGGCATTTGGGAGGTGTCTAATGCCTAATGTCTGCCTGCCTCGGAGCCACCACACTGTGCAGAGCAGTTGGGCTCCTATGCCTCCCAGGACTAACCAGCTGACACCACTGCCTGGGGAACTTGCAGGGTACTTCATATCTGAATGCTCACACATGCAACCCACAGCACCAGGCCATTCCCTCCTGACACACTACAGTGTCCTCAGGCAGAGGGCAGCATTTGAGAGATGGAATGAAACCTCTTCATGCTAAGTAATACCTGCAGCAACTGAATTTAATAATATTTTTTTTTTAATTTTAAAGTCATGAGAAAGATCAGATCTAAGATTCCCGGAAGATAATTCCAGGGTATTAAAGTAGCAATTACATAATAACAGAATTACTATACTTGTGTGTATAAATATGATGTCTCAGTCCATTTGGATTGTTATTTTTAAAAAATAGCAGTCTGAGTAGCTGAGTAACAATAGCAAATCTATTTCTCAAAGTTCTGGTCCTAGAACAAAGAAGTGTATGAGGAGGGCCCCTTCTAGTTTGCTCAGGGCCCTGTGGTCCGTCATCAAATGGTAGAGGGATAAAGCACCCCTAAGGTAGCACAGCTCACAGAGGGTCCCAGTGGGGGGTGGGGGACAGCCTTACAGAAAGCCAGAACTTGGGAAAAGGTTGTATGATGTTAGTGCCCTCTGAGCCACAAGGCCATCATGCTGGCCTTCACGCGTATGAATGCCTGAATGCATCCCTGGGACTTGAGAAACGGAAATGTTTATCTGGGAATGATGTACCTTACCAAATCTTTGCTAACAAGTGAACGACAGAGGAGCCTGCTGAATACCTCCTCCATTCAAAGTACCACTAGTTGCACTTTTCTCTTTCAAGCACCTCCCAGGCATGCTCTGCCTAAGATTACAGGCATGGTAGAACAGGGAGGTGCAATTCTACCAAGTGTCCTGAGCCAGCATGGTGCTCTCAGCTGGACCTTCTTTGTGTACAGACACAAAGATGTGTGTACACAAATGCATGCAGTCAGGGGAATGGGCACATCCACACTCATGGAAAATCATGTACATGTGCATTTCACATCTGTAAACATTCATATGCACAAACACAACTGCATAGGTGGCTGCCATTCATACGTGAGCACACAAGCACATGCAGTCAGATACACACAAGCACATTCCATTCTGGCATGCCCACTGAAGTCCCTCAGACATTTCATGTGTCACCTATTAAAAACATCACCAATGGAGCTGACAGAAGCTGCAGGACCAGCCTGGAGTCCTCACTTTACAGAAGGAACCCCAAGCCCAGGCAGTGACAGGGTCTCCACAATGAGCATGGTCCAGAGCAAGAAGGACGGACAACAGCTCCCGTTCAGCCAGCATACACCGGCTGCAAGTCAGAGCCTCAACACTGCTTTGGGTTTCTCCTTGCTACTCTTGCCCATTGATTCTCTTGATGTAAAAGTAACAAAAAAACTACTTTAGGTGTTAAGGGTAGCATATTAAGGTAGGAAGTAGGCTATGTGGGTTAGCTAGCTTCTCAATAAACCCAGGCCTCATTACATAAAGAAATATGACTCTTCCTGGGGGGACAATGAGCATGGTGCATGCCAGTCGCTGCTGCAGGTGTTGGCAAGCAAAGACCTCCATCTAAAGAGCCCAACTACCAGATCTCTAGTCGTGATCTGTGCTTATATACTAGAACAAGGCATGTGTGGGTATTAGACATGTGGGACCACCATGAGAGCACTTTCCATAAAGGGATCTTAGGAGACTTAAGTCTGACTAGGGTGCTGCAAAGCTGGATGCAGACTGCCCCCGGGTTCAAACATTCTGGGGGTCCTAGTCCTAGATGGGGAAGCAGACTTCGTTGAGGTTGCCACCCAGAGGAAGCACAACTCAACATGGACTCAGCAAGTTCATCATTACTCTGTTCCCAGTTGCACATAACTAGCTAAGGCTGACTCAGGGGACCACAGAGGTCACACAGGTCACATAGCCTCAGCCCCACTTCCCCTCAATGCATCTTCTTCTCCCTTATTTTCAGACTTGAGAGTCATAGCTAGAGATCTAGTTATTTCTTTATTTTTATTTATTAGTACTACTATAGAGGAATTTGGGGTGGGGGAGCGTGCAAATGCCATGGGACATGGGCAGAGGGCAGAGGACAACTTTGAGGCATCGGTTCATCCTTTCCAACTTTAGGTGGGCTTTGGTAATTCATCTCAGATCCTCAGGCTTACACAGCAAGTCTTTTACTCAGTGAACACTTTCAAGATGCAATTCTTAAAACAGAGGTGTTCCCATGAGAAGGGGGTTCACAATACAAATACAATTAGATAGCTTTCAGTACATGTTCCTGGGCATAAAGGGCCTCTACCAACCCGAGGGGGCAGGCAAGGGGCTGTCGTCTTCACTCACAGACACTGTAGAGAAAGCTTGTGAGGTAGATGACACACTGAGAATGTCACCTCTGGTCTGCACACAAAAAGGGCCATTATATCAGGCTGAAGGGACCCTCCCGTATGGATAAGGCATGCACAGGAGAACCCTAGTTCTGTGACACAGATCTCATGAGGACCAGGTTACTATGCAGGGCAGTACTGTTTGTGAACAGGCAAAAAAGTCTGGAACGGGAATTCCTTGGCTGGGAATAGACTCGAGAACCTGCTCTTTACCCAGAGGCAGAGTAGCTGGCTTCTCGTTGGACTTGGCCCCACAAGTACAGTAGAGAGCTCACCAACACGAAGGATAGGGTCACCTCTGCTAACAAACTAAAGAGTTGTGTTCATCTCATGGGCGCTGATGACCTGTTCTCAGCTCCTCTCCTCTTTCCTCCGGGCCAACAGTAAGGGGATGGAGAGCCGTTGCCTGTTCCCGTGCCTGGGTCACTCTTACTGTCCTACACATCAGTCTGACACACGGAGGCCCCTCCTCAATCAGAGAGGCCCCGCCCACCACTGCCTAGATGACCTCAGCATCCATGACATCTTCGAGGACCTAGGTACGCTAGGGCAGGTCATGGTTTAGAGCCATGCTGGCCTGTAGGAAACTGCCTCAAAGCAGACACCTACAGGGGGGTGAGAGGAGTGTGATTGGGCTAAGTGGAAGCTCAGCAGGAGTGCAGTGGGAGGAGACAACTGGGGCTCAGGTAGCCAGGGGGACCCCCAGCAGGCCTAGGGTGGGAGGAGACAACTGGGGCCCTTGTAGCCAGGGGGACCCCCAGCAGGCCTAGGGTGGGAGGAGACAACTGGGGCCCTTGTAGCCAGGGGGACCCCCAGCAGGCCTAGGATGGGAGGAGACAACTGGGGCCCATGTAGCCAAGGAGATATCAGCAGGCCTGGGATGGAGGCCACAGGACAGCAGTGAGCATGTTCTTTAGGACTGTGTAGCAGAGGGTATCAAACTGGAATACTACAGGCCAGGCAGATGGCCTAACTCTAAACAGATCCTAAGAAGGCCACATTCTCAAGCCACTCCTAACTCACCGTGGTGCATCTCTCTACTCCAAAACTTCAGGGGGTCAGAAAGAGAGAAAAGAGCCAAGGAGGCCCACCAGACACCCCCTGGAAACCATCTACAAAGGAACTGCTGGGGGTGGGGGGTCAGGGAACACTACAATCCCAGCATTCCTGGGGTGAACTAGAGGGCAAGAGTTCAGGCTGGCCCCCTGAAAGGAGAAGGAAGGCTAGGCAGAACCAGTACTAACTATGAAGGAGACCCTAAACCTCACAGTGGACTGGATGCCAAAGGCCCAATCCTTCAGGGCTTCCTGGGCTGTGTGATAGAAGCCAGCCACACACCCATTTTGAAGATTTATCACTGTCAAAAGAATTCAAAGTTGCACTAACTATAATGTTTAAGCACCATGAAGCCACGCTGATGGCTTTGTTTAGAGACAAGATCAACGTTTTCCACAAACAGGCTGAGAGGGGCCAGAATACAATGGACCCTAACTCAGGGACTGGAGAGATGGCTTAGTGGTTAAAAGCACTTGCTGCTCTTCCAGAGGACCTGGGTTCAATTCCCAGCACTCACATGGCAGCTCACAATTGTCTGTAACTCCAGTTTTAGGGGATCCAACACCCTCATCCTGACATACATGCAGAAAAAAATGCACATAAAATAAGTAAATAAATCATTCAAAAACAAAAAACAAACCAAGGGCTGGAGAGATGGCTCAGTGGTTAAGAGCTCTGACTGCTCTTCCAGAGGACCCTGGTTCAATTCCCGGCACCCACATGGCAGCTCACAACTGTCTGTAACGCCAGTTCCTGAAACCCAACACCCATGGCAAAACACCAATGTATGTGAAATAAAAAATAAATAAATTTAAAATATTAAAAAAAAATGCACCTTAATTCAAGAATAGACACTTCATTTGCAGACTAGGAAATTTACAAGTGAAACGTTTGAAAAATGAAGGGTAGACTGTAAAAGACCTGACGTGTGGCCACAAATCGCCCATGGCAGTCTACTTTCCCATGGTAAAAGCTTTGCTCTTTCTAGAGATTTTCCTTAGGAGTATGAGTCTGTGTAACCATGGGAGGCCCTGCCGGGTGGGGGTGGGAGGTGGTGGAGAGAGGCACAGCAGGGAAATTCCATGACTTAACTTTTGGAAACTCCCAGATGAATGGCTGTCTTCATTTTACTGTTTTCCCCAGCTTGGGTCTAAAGGGTGAGAGGTTCAAGGGCATGGACTTACCTCGGCAAGCAATCCCTTGACCGTCAATGGTCTGTCTGCACACTCCACAGACTCTGGGCTTTTTAAAATCCTTTTTCTTAAAACTGTGAGGACACGTGGTCAATTCTTCCGGCTGAAAGAGTAAAGGAAGAAACAAACGGTCAGCCCTTCGGCTCGTGGTATCTTCTTCTTTTTTTTTTTTTTTTTAATTTTTTTCCTAGGAGATAACAAATCTAGTGAGCCTTGAAGAGGGCTTAAAGAGGAGCAAACTCCAGTGCAGGAAGAGAGCCAGTGGATGATGTTCTGGAATCCAGAGGGCAGCTCACCCACTGTTAGTATGCGCATCTCCCCCCTGGGTGCTTCAGGACTGAGACCTTAGGCAGCTCCCTAGGTGATAATATGCTCTCTCCTTCCAGCCTCCAGGCTTACAGCACCCACTGCAATACACAGCCTCCTAGAGCGCCCCCCCCTTTACCCCCGCTTTTTGTTCTAGAATAGACGTCTTCTAGAGCAAGATGAAGTTAAGAGATGCTCAACAGTTTCCCTTTCAAAGGTGTCCCAAAATAACCACTAAGGTTCAGAGATTCTCGGCCCACCAGCTAGGATGAGCCCAGGACACAGATGTGTGTCTTTCTTAACCATGATGATAAGCATTAGTATGAGATTAACTTTCATCCACCAAGTTCCTGTTTACAGAGTCTGTGTTTAGAGCCTCTTTCTATCTGAGGTTCTCCGAAAAGTTCACTTTCTTTTAGAACACCCTTCTGACTATTTGCTGATGATGGAATAAGACCAGTAACTAACAACCATGTGGATCCTAGTCAACACACACACACACACACACACACACACACACACACACACACACACACACACAGGTCATTGCTTACTCAAACTTACTCAGGGTAACTTAAACTTACTCAGAAAATAAAATGTATCGTATCTCATGTTCTCAGTAACAATTACTTTGGGAAAAACGTTTGATAATTTCTTACAAACTTTAAAAGGTGTGCAACATAATTTAAAGTGTCCAGGGCTGCAGACAGCTCTTTACCTTCTGCACAGCCCTCCCCCGACCCCCAGCACTCACGCAGTATTGTCAATATACTATTTTTTTGCAACAATAAAAAAAAAGTCCCAAAGAAGAAATAACCTAAGTCTCTTTCACAGGAAGAATAGATTTTTCAAAAAGATTGGTCAAACAACAAAACAGTGTTTGGAAACATTCAGGTGCATACTATCCGTGCAGGTACATGGATTAAAAGCATCATGCTATTTAAAAGATGCAAGGATATGATGTCCACCACCACTTAAACACATCTGAGTCAACAGAAGCATGAGCCATAGAGCTCACTGCACTCATTCCCACAGGGTGGGAGCCCTGAAAGAACACTCACGGAGGGAGCTTGTTTCACGCTCTGGATGGCAGCTACAGAGGGGCACAAAGTTCAAGTCATTAAGCTTCAGCACTGTACATCGTACTAGCTAAAGATCTACAAGAAAGGAGAAAAATGTAGATCTGGATAAAATAACAATCCTGGAAAGATGTGCTACCCTGCTTTTACCGACCTTGGGTGACATGGAGTACCGTGACAGCATTTTTATTTACTTAGTTCTGAATCCACAGGAACTTCCACTGATGATGAAAAAGTATTACCAGAGACTAAATGTATCCTTACCTAAAATCATGCACAAAAATACACAGAACCACTGTTTTGAAAACACGCTGCAGCGGGAAATGAGGGACAGTGATGAGGATGCTTTGGTCCCTCACAACGCCCCTCACACACCAAGGCACTCTGAGACTGACATGAGGTTGAAGTCCTTCCACTTGGTGATTTTTGGGCAATCTTAGTTTATGTGAACACACTCTGTGATACCCACACAATGACAGCTGCAGCTGATGACATACATCCTAACTGCATCCTTTTTCGGGGACCCCAGGGACCCGTGACTGTACTTGAGAGGGAAGAATAAGTTAAGGTGAACATCCTGCCTCACCCCCTCCCTCCACCACCACTGTCTTAAGAGACTCTCTGGGCTGCAGAGAAGAGCCAGGCAGAGTCCAAGGGAGCCTCCTCTGTTGAGGAAGGCAAGAAGAGTTTCTTAGACAGGGCACCACAGAAGAAAGATCTGCAGAACTCTTAAGGTCTGCAGAAAAGCCCTTAAAAACAGCCAGCGTAGAAGAGCATATGTGTGCCCATCAAGAATATAGAAAAGAGCTCCCACCTCTCCAACACATACCCTATGCCTCTCCAGGGGGATTAGGGACCCTGGGCTCACTAAGAGCTGAGAACTGTGCTTGCTTACTGTAGATCAGGAACCCCAACTTTGTCCCATTTTACAGTAAATGCAGAGCAACCATGCCTTATAGAGATCAGCTCTACTTTAACGCCCACCTTGGCCTACATAAGCTATTTGCAAAACACTGCCCCAAGGCTGTTACTGCTGTCCAGTAGCATGACTGCATTTCAGAGAAAAAGTACACCAGAATACCACAAAGACCATAATATTTCCCAGAATCCAAACAAGGTAAAATTCACGAAGCCAGAAATTATCAGGTACTCAAGGAAACTAGAAAGCAAATACAATTCATAATTAGAAAAGACGATGGAAACTGACTGAGAGGTTAGAATTATCAGATAAGAATATTAAGGGTGTTATTACAATTGTATTATATCTCAAAATGTGGAGATCTAAAAAGATGCATAAGAATCCAAAAAAAAAAAAGGACAAAAGAAAATGCAGACTTCAGAGGTAAAAATATACAGGACATAATTATTGGCTAAGTACTCAAAAGACACAGTGAATTTAAAATCAACATAATGAAAACCTCCCAAAATAAAGCAAAGAAATGAAATAATGTATAGCAACAAATAAATGAGTTTCCAGAACAATGCGAGAAATCTTACAATAAACACACATTTACTCCTAATGGTGAGAAGCACAGAAGGAAACCTGGAAGAAAAAATGACCAAAAGTATCTGAAAATGCAAGGAAAACTGTAAAGACACAGAGCCAAGAAACAAGAGCTGACTGTGACTATACCAAAGTACATGAAGATAAATTATTTAAACCCAGTAACAAAGAAAAAAAAATCTTAAAACCGCTCAGAGCAAAAAATAAACAAACAAACAAATAAATAAAAATGCATATCACATACCGAGGACAAACAATGAAGATTAACAAGATTTCTCACTACAAAACTGTTTGGTTATGAGGCTGGACAGATGGCTCAGCAGTTAGTTAGAAGCATACACTGCTCTTACAGAGGACCTGAGTTCAAGTTCAGCTTACACATCAGGCGGCTTATACCTCCCTGTAACTCTAGTTCAAGATGCCTCTGGCTTCTAAGGGTACCTGTACTCATGACACAGAGACACATTCACATACACATAATTTTAAAAATGAACATAAACCTTTAAGAAAAGAATAAATTTGAAAATATCTCTGAGAAGTTAAACAATACAAGATACTGAAGACCAGTAAATCTAGACTCTGCAGAAAAAAAAATCTTCCAAAAATGAAAGACTTTTACATACTTATTAAGATATTTACTCACCAGGCAGTGGTGGCACACGCCATTAATCCCAGCACTTGGGAGGCAGAGCCAGGCCAGTATCTGTGAGTTCGAGGCCAGCCTGATCTAAAGAGCGAGATCCAGGACAGGCACCAAAAACTACAGAGAAGAAACCCTGTCTAGAAAAAACAAACAAACAAACAAAAAATATATTGACTCAAAAGCTGAAAGTTAGAACTTGCCAACAACTGACACATACCACATACACATGTGGATACACCTCGTACTCAGACACTTGAGCTACCCTCTCACCACGTTGAGGGAGCAGGGGCTTAAATCGGAGCTATGGGAGGATATGTGCAATATGAACATAGAGGATTGGAACACCAGGGGTGGAAAGCTGAGTGGGGAAGGAGGGAGGCAGGCAGAGAAAAGGGGGCAGAGAGAAGGGCTAGTCACACTACAGAAGGAAGAAAGAAACCTACGACTGAAACCTACGATTTTGTGAAATAATTTTAAAAGATGTATTTCCCAAAAAGAGCTTAAATGGAAGCAGCATGCGTGGACAGACAATGTTGCTCCCACAAAGCACTGGTTATTTAATGAAAATCTCAGTGCCAGGCATTGGACACCTCTCTATGAGATGTTGGTCAGGGATGCTCTAGAGGAACCCAAAATAATACAGGCTATCGCCATGGTATGTAAGAAGACACATCAAGGAATCCATGTTCACAAAGGGGTATAACCATGTAAGGACCTGGGAGAAGGTGGCTGTCTACAAATGAAGAAAAGAAGTCTCCAAACAAACCAGCCATTCCTACACCATGATGTCTGTGTCCTCCATCAGCACTGCTAGGGAACGCATTTCTGTTAAACCACCATTCGTGTGGTATTTTGTTAGGTAAGCCTCTCTCAGCAATCGACATTGGAAAATAAACATGGATATAAATAATTTGGATGATGTGATCAAACAATCTGACCTAACAGAAACAGAATATTTGACTCAAGAGCAACAGAACACACACTCTTAAGTGTATTAGCATGTTTAGCCATATTGTAGACACAGAACAAGTCTGAACAAATCAAAATGCATTCAAATCCTCCTGAAGAAAAGAAATCTGTGACCACAACAGAATCAAAGTTGGGAACACCAACAGTGATCTCTGGAAAACTCCCCCAAATGGTTGCAAACAAAATACTATACTTATAAATAACTCATGGGTTACCCTACATAATCCACAACATACTACATTGTGAAAAGTTGGCTTATCCCAGAAATGTAAGAATTCATAACATTCAAATATCAATCAATAAACTTAAAAATACCAGAATTCTGGAGGCTGAAGCAGGGAATTGGTAGAGGTCTGACCCTGTCTCAAAAAGCAAAACTATGAAGAAGAAGAAGAAGAAGAAGAAGAAGAAGAAGAAGAAGAAGAAGAAGAAGAAGAAGAAGAAGAAGAAGAAGAAGAAGAAGAAGAAGAAGAAGA